AGACCTTCTTGGTCTCCTACGCCAGTTACTTTAAAAGTCAAATCAGAAGAGCACCTGGAAAGCTCTCCAACACCAACACCCAAAGCTGGCCCGTGCTCATGTAACTCAAAGCACAATTCCATTGAGGTCCAATTCAATCACCAGAAGCATGTGGGAGAACTTTCTGGTGTTTCAACTTGCAGAGTTATGACAGAAAACAGAACAACTGAATGCGAGTTGCTTCTGCGTAACACAATTGTTTCTGTATCAGATCTAAACAACCATTTAAGAAGTGTCAACTTCAAGAGGAAGGATTAATTTATTACTAGCACAAGGTAGACATCATGAAGAATGGCTGCTATCATTTCATACTGCGTCTGGCCTGGATGGAGTGAGCTTTCCTCATAGCAGCCCCTATGGTGCTGTGCTTTAGATTTGCAGCTGTACACTGCTGGTAACACTGATATTCTGGCTCCAGCTGAGCGGGCTGTGCGCAGCACTGAGGCCTTGTCTCCTCCTAATCAAGGGGTGGGCACAAGGTTAGGAGCAAGCACAGCCAGGAGCTGGCTCAATCCAACTGAAGGGACATCCCTTGCTGCATGACACTGTGCTCAGCCAGAGAAGCTCAGGGAGAGGAGGAGGAAGCAGAGACATGTGCAGTCACGGTGTTATCTGTCCAGATGTGCTGAGGCCCTGCTTTCCATGCAGCAGCTGGACGTTTGCCTGCCTATGGATGTAGATAATGAAATCCTCTTAATGCTTTGCTTGCAGGAACACCTTTTGCTTTCCCTGTTAAACTGCTACTGTCTCCATCCATGAGTATTCCCACCTTCCTCTGTACCCATCCGCAGAGAGAGCCTGGATGGGCACTCTGCTGGGGTCAGCCAGAGGAACAGTGTGGCCAGCAGTCTCTCTTTGCCTGGGCAAAAAGTTTGCTTCTACACAATGGGGCCCTACAGTTTGTTAAAAATATATCTGAAAGGCATAAGAACTAACGTTACAGTAGGGTGCATGTATCCTATATAATCAAAACTTACATTATAATCCAATTCCTTCAAAACATAACCCATCTGGAAGACTTAATTTATTTGAATTACATGGAGTTTGAAATATATATTGACTCAATTCTGACATTTATTTGGGATGAGGTAAAAAGTGACATCCTACAAATTATTTTTTTGTTTAGAATGCATCAGGAAATTCAATTTGTGCAAAGATACAGCTATTTAACGTGAAAATATAGCACACATTCTCTGCAAAATGTTTATGGTTAAAATCCACACTTAAATGAAAAGTGAAATTAAAGCTGAACATATACGAGGCCTGCAGTGCAGTAACATTATAACACTTAATTGAATAGCAGACATTATCAGGTCCTACTAAACATGAAGCATAATTCATTGTGTTTTTTTAACACCATTAGAAAAAAAGCATTTGAAAGCATCTTTAAATCAAACATAACTGCACATGCATATGAAATCTGTCTGCTAGATTAGGTATGTGTCTTACTGATGCTCATGTGCAGCACATGCATCAGATTCAGGTGCCTAACTGCATAAGCAGAACCAAGGGTTGGGATGCCTGCCTTAGGCACACCATCCATAGAGCAGCTCAGAGAATTTCTCCTGTATGAGCAAGTGCTGACCTCTGTCATCACTTTCACACAGATGGAGATGGCACCAATCACTCTCACGAAGTGTCTAGAAAGCAGCCAAAAGGCTGGAAAATATATTCCAAGATATTTAGTCAGCTACAGAAAAAGAATATTACCAGACAGCTTCCTAGAGCCCATGGAGCAACTAGCTTCTATTTTAAGCAGCATCTATATAAGAGTATTGATTGAAACAGATTATTCTTCCTTACAACCCACTTTGTCAATCAGTTCTCAGATGCACTTTTAAAACACCAGCAACTTAATTAGCATTTTCCACTGTTGTCTAACAAGGATCCTTTTGAGGAGAGCAGAGATGTTGCCTACAGACTCGGTTCCCGACTTGGTCAGGCTTCACTCGCATTACACTATAGTATGCATCAATTGGGCCAGTGGTACCAAAAATTCTGTTTATGGACTAAATACTGAATGCCAACTCATTTAAAAAAGTATCTCAAACATATTTTGAACTAAAACATTATCTCAGAAAGCTCCAAGAACACCTTTTACTGCTGAGAATTTTCTGCAGCAGAGCTTTGCTCAGTAATCTGCACCTGGGACCAGTGAGAAATCTCTCTGCTTAGGCTGACTGGGAGCCAAAACATATTTCAGCAAGGAATATGCGGGGGAAAAGAAAGGAAAAAAAAACCCTTAGAGCAGCTGAAGAAGCTCTGTCAACATCGTTAGTTTGTCCACCAGAAAAATGCAAATATGCTGTGAAGAAAGATTGTTAGCAACAAATATAATCAAAATCACAGTATTTCGACACCTGGTTCTTAAAGCAATCAGGACCATAATGTATTATGCAGCCTTCATTCAATTACCCACAACAATGAATACAAAACCTCCACACCTAATACAGGTTTGAAGACCACTGGCTGTGATGCTTGCTGGGTGCAAATACAGTGATGACAGATGAAAAGGACAGGGACACCTTTGCTAAATACATTCAGTATAACTGAAGCATGAATGATTACAATGGGTAACTAAATACATCATCCTATAATCATTTTTGACATCCCAGTACCAAATCTATTCTGTTAAATGTTCACATTGGTCCAAATTCTTATGAACCTTTGGCAGATTCTCCTTTTTGTTACGGTAACTTCTTGCTGTCAAACAGAAGCAAAAATCCTGAAGAAATTACTTTCGAGACAAATAAAATTGTCCAGTTATGCTAACCAGGGAGCAATATCTCTTGAGGGGTACATAAAAATAAACTTTACCTTGGAATAGATACTATTTGAACACCAAGACTGAGAAGTATTGTTTTAAATATATCCCCCCACCCAAAAAAAAAAAAAAAAAAAAAAGCTGGTAGTATTTCTTATCAAGCATGATTAAAATGATAGGAAATAACAGAATCCCACTTAAATAGTTTTCTTGCCCTGTCCTTGGAGTGTTCAAAGCCAGGTTGAATGGGACCCTGGGCAGCCTGGTCTAGTATTAAATGGAAAGTTTGGTGGCCCTGCTTGTGACAGGGAGTTGGAGCTTTATGATCTTTGGGGTCCCTTTCAACCCTAAGCCGTTCTATGATGAAATATTCTTTTCATAAACATTTAAATATTCAATTATGTTTTTCTTCAAGGTTTGAATATATTGCATTTTTTGACTGCATACCCTAAATAACTAAGACGCACGCCTGGTTAATTGACAGACTTGCCCACAACATCTCAGTTGTAGCTCCCCCTTCCCTAGTTTCATTTTGACACTTTTTCACAAAAATATTTAACAAATACACTTCTAAATGAGTTCTGTGCACCAAAAATACCAAAACTCAGTGTATGCGAGCCACGGCATTGATATAAATTGTAATTCATGTATTCTGTGCCACATTAGATTAACTGCCAAGAAGCACAATGCTCCACAATGAACAAAGGCCTGGTGCTCCAAGTAATTTCCTGAGCAGGAAATGAAAGGCCATAGATACGCTGTGCTATGAATCCTTGACTTTTAACACATAAGGTTCTCTTATTAACTGATGAGAGATAGCACATGGACAATATTAAAAACAAAGCTCGTACTGATTCAGCTCTTCAGTGTTTGTTCACAACCGGTGTGAGAAGTTTAATCGGGTCTCAGATAGTTGTAACAACTTTATTCATCTATTAAAGCCCTTTTGTATTGCTTGTATTTGCTTTAGATGGTACAAATAATGTTTGTAATAGCAGACTGCTGCAGAAAAGAAAGCTCCTTCATATCCACCATCAAGAGGCTACAGATGAAAGGCATACACCACTCTGTAAGAAGCAAATATTCCCACTGCTCTTTGCTACACAGAATGCACAATGCCACTGGACTAACAGTTGTTAGCTGTCCCCTCTGCCTCACATTCTTACATCAAAGAGACAACTAGATTTTTTCTAGTTTAATTAAATATGATTTAATTAAAAACACTAAATTAGCTTTGATTTTTATTTTATAATATGTACAATAGTTACCAAATAATGAATACACTTTATCAGTTATGTTAAATTTCACATAACGTCAAAGACATCAGCATGGCATGGAATAAACTCACAATGCCTTTTGCATATACAAAAAATGCATTAATGTTAATTGTGATTACTTTTTAATAACCTGTTTATTAACTCTCCAAATAATTTTGGCATAAAAACAGTGTAAGTAGTTAATTGATCAGTTAATATATTAGCAAAGAGAAACATTAGTAAAGTTTGCAAGAAACCATCACAAAATTACCTCAAATGTAAGACTGAATGTATTCACATGAATTACCTTCAGTTAGAAAACAGTTCTGAAAAAGAGCCCAAGTTTGAGCTATGCATTAATTTGGTCAAACTGATTCATACGAATGAACAGTCACGTTTATTCAGATATTGAAAATATGACTATCCTTCTAGTATTCACAAACATCTGTGTATATAGTGTATGTGTGTAAATATATATGCATATATAAAGTGAAGATATGTTAATGTAAAAATATACTGTTCATCCACTCCCAGTTACACAAAATTCAGTATTTGGACATTAAACTGCCTAAGTAAAAATGTCCATTTCAAATCTACATTCAACCAGCAACAAATACTTAGAAGTATTTTTGTAAACATTTGAAATAGGGAGAACTCATTCATTTACAAAATTATCTTTAACATATCAGCATCTCTTCAGCTTAAAAATTTTGTACAGCAGTTTCAGCTGGACTACTGCAGATCTGCTCAAATCAAGAACTCACACTGTCTCAAATCCATGTGTGAAAGCTCAGCAAATGCATGATTTTCAGATTCTTCCTTGATCACCATCCATTTCCAGTTCACCAGAAAAAGAAAATGCACTTGGCTACAAAAATATTAAGGAATGTTATTGAAAACAAAAGGCTATTTTGGTAGAAGAAACTACAAAAATAGTTAAGTTGAGTCATGTTGTAAAGCTTTAATGCAAGAGCATTACAGTACAGATTTTCTTTCCAACCTTAAAGCTTAATCAACACCAAATTTAAATATCCATCTCTCAAGTGCTCAGAGACAACGTGCTCAGTAAAGTCCTTCTTCAATTTAATCAGTTGTAATTATGCAGGTGCCAAGCTCTGCATCTCAGACATCTGTTGAGTGCTTTCTCTTGTTCCATTGGCAGCGATTACAGGTGTTGAGATACTGTGAGACGTAGGACAGCTCAGCACAGCTCCACTTTCATCCTCCCCAGTATCTGAATCTGGTGTTACAGAACTGCTTTCTATCCCCAGGATCTCACTAACTGCTTGAGGCAACTCCTATAAATGCAAAGAGGAAATTTTATTTTATTTTAATTCTTAAGCTCCCCCTCCCCAAAGTAATCATTCATCTGAATTTAGCTGTATTACAAACATCTCTCTCAGCATTAGTACCATTTTCTGCATCTGCTTCTCAAACAGACAGCAAAAGAAAGGCTCAATAACCAATTAATGATTTTCATCTTCATCTCCAAAATACAAGTCCACACAACAATGAAAATTACACTTTTATCTTACTGAAATTATTTTTATCTAGTGAATTACGGTATTCATCTGGTATTCTTTCAGTGCAAGGATCTTATATCTCATCTTTCTTAAGCTCATCACACATCAAATTCCTTGTACTGAGGTTATCCAATAAGAGTTAAGAAATCACAATCAAAAGACACAATCCAGCTTTCCACCAGTGGAATGCATTTCCCTATAAAATTAATCTTGTTTATAGACTTCTGGAATATAGGTGTGCTTATTTAGGCACAGCATAACTTAATGTCTGGCTGTGATAAAAGATATTTCACAACTTGTACAATTAGAGCCAACTACTTAATTTTAATATAACTATTTTCAGTAGATATGTTCAAAATATCATTACCTTGCAATTCATCATCTGCATCGAAATTGCTTCTGCTTTGCAGAGTATATATTCCACATCAATTTTCATAGACAGTTCATTGATATGCTAAAAAATACATTCACAAGCAGTAAATGTAACAAACTGTGTGAAATATGCTGCATTGTTAAATATATTGCATGAATAAATATCATCTCATAGGCCTGCCCCCTAAGCTGTGAAGTGCTAAACACATTGTCTATTTGCACTGACAAATGGAAGATGTACTATGCAATAGCTGGCTTTCATCACTGAGACCTGTATGAGGAATCCATTATATTTCTATATGTGGCAAAATACCCAGCCCTCCTAACTTACTCCCTAAATCATATTTTCTGTGAGATATCAAGTAAGATTATAAAAGACATAGCAAAAATTAAGATTAAACATACTAAGCAACAATTTAAAAGGGAGAATCACTTTCCATGCTCATAATCTAACTACAGGCATCCAATAAATCATTCTGAAAGCATGGCAAACAGTCACTTCAAATGTAATGCTTCAGAGGATGGTATTTACCTTCCCTACCTCCATTCTCCCCAACATGAAATACAAAAGACACTTCATTAATGCCAGAGAGTTAAATAACACATAAGAACTCAGTACCTTTAATATTTCATTAAAGCCATACTGCTTTTCCATTATTTGCTGTTTTTCAGATTCTAAGATAGCACAACAGAGGAGAAGATGAAAATTCTGGCAAGGCAATTCTGTCCACATGACCTGTTAAAATATGAGAAACTTTTGAAATGCTTACACACTTCCTCTGAAAAGACAGGCAAATGTTAGAAAATAATGTTTAAACAAATCTCCAATAAACCCTGAAACTTAGTGGTTTAACAAAAACAAGCCATTTTTGGAGGAAACTACTTTTATCTACAATTACTTGAAATTTCTCTTCTAGTCAAGTTAGTGGCAACTATAAGTTAACATAAAGCCTTTAAAAAAAAACAGGAAAACAAGATATACCTCATTCCTTATCTCCTATCAAAGACACTGAATACTTGTAATAAACATATGAGGGCTGCTCTAAAAGTAATGCTATTTTAGCATCATAGTAATGCTAATTACTAATATGATGTTGACCCACAACTTCAGAGGCCAATGGTGTGTTGGTATGGCAGTAGAGGTTGAACATGCCCACCAATATCCCATTCCATGCTGTTGCCATGTGACAGATGGCAGCAGCAGGGCAGTCTGACATGGAAGCACAGATGAAGCAAAGGGGTGGCACTGAATTCCTCATGGAAAACACTGCACCCACTGACTCTTGCTGAATGTTTATGAGACCAAAGAATGGGTGTGAGCGCAGTGAGCAGTGCATTTCAGCAGTGGTGACAGCTACAGTAGGCCACCTCTGCTGGTATAGATTTTAATGAGCACTGCACGCAAGCTCTTGATCACTACTGGCAAAAAAAATGCGTAGCTAATGGTGGTGACTATGGTGAAAAATACCATTTTGTAGCTAAGATTTTGCTCCGTCAAACAGTGTCATTGTGTTCTTTGTATCTTTGGTAGTTTCCATGGAAATAAATAGGAGCAATTACTTTTGGAATGGCCTACGTATGTTATTATGTGATAAACAAAACCTAGGAGTCTATCACTTATCATCAGGATTCCATCATCCTCCAAAGATAGTAAAAGTACTCCAAGAAGTTTGATATACATGGTGCTGTTCTTCTGTACACACATTTATACATGAACTAAGGCACAGATTATCACCACCAGACTAGGAAATAAACTATGAATACAGATACAGTTCTCATCAGTTAAAAAGAAAAAATAGTCTTTTAAAAATACTGATAAGATACTGCAAACAGGAAATGTGAAGACTAGCAATTTTTTCCCCCAAAACATCTCATTATCATTTTATACCTTAGAATTGGGGAATTCCTTTGGTTTTGCACATTTTGGAACCCATATTTATGATGTTACACCAATACCACTTCTCCTGGCACAAGATGTTTTTCACACACAAAAAGGTAACCTGATACTCTCCACTTACTGCTCTCACTTCAGAGAGTCATCTGAGAGGTCCTGTCCAAGCCTTACGAAAATAAGCCAACTTAACCCATACTTTTATCTCAAGTTACTGTTTTGGCTAAAAAGACATAACATATGCTAATATCTCTTCTCTTACACCAATAGGGATTTTTTAATTAATCTATGAGAGTATTAATCACTTTGTAGAATGATTTATGCTGTCATACAAAAGAAGTGTACTTCAAAGAGCTCCAAAAAGACCACTGGATTTTGTGTGATGAAATCCTTGCTTACCTCCCAGAGTCGAAGAATATCTTGAAAGCTAAATTCCCTTTTAAATCTGATGAGAAGCCATCGGAAGCAAAAATAAAGGTAGCCTGAGTCTTGAGATTCTAGGAATATGAACATTACATTTCATAAATACCACATTTGGTTAAGACAACGGGAAAAATAGACTTCAAAAGGTACAAAATCATACAATTGATAAAATTGTAGTCCCTCTTCAAAATCAATGATACAATGAATTCATGGACAATGGCATAAGTCAGTAACAAGCGAAGCAGTTAGTGAAATCTTATAGGTGTTTCTAGTTTAGAAGTCTTCTATGTAAGTCCTGTAGCCATATCATATTACTCTTGGAAATATGTTTGAGGACTGGTCAGGATACCAATGCACACAGAATGTAATAAGTTGTTTTAGTTACTGTGCATGAGTAACACCTACCTAAATAACTGCAAAATCCACTGTCTAGTAAACGAAGCAAAGTACTCAGCTGAATTAGTTGTGTCTTCATACCCTGCATCTGTTCTTCAAAATTCTGATGCTGGATGAAATAAAATATTTGCACTGTCATTTATATTAACTCATAACGACAACTTAGATTTATACACATGATTAATTATAGCAGTTTTATCACAGCAAGTGATTCTCATCATTTAGATATTTCATGGGTGGAGCAGTTAAAGGACTGTACCTGTAATTAATGGAATGTTTGCTTTTTACTGAAAGGTTTAAGTTAAGCAGTGAACCACGCTTATCCAACATCATCCTCATTTACTTTATGTAACAAATGATAATTTTAATTAGTCTACGCTCCCTACTGTCAAGCAGCAATGCTGTACTCAAAACAAAAAGACAGCTTTTTTTTTGTTGTTCTAGTCACATATTGTTTTATCACATGCATAAATCAGAAGTTTCTGTTTGTGGGAAGTCTAAACTCCAGACTCCTGGACAAAATCTTTATAGAGGACTCCTGATTAACATGAAATTGAGCATTCTGGCTCTGAGTTACTTTGGAATTTCCAAGTAGTCAAATCTGTCCATGTTACACAGTAAGATTATCATCAACCCACTGTAATTTCTTTCAGAGACAAAACACATCAACTTCAGATATAATAGAGGATCCTTACTTTACAAGTATTCAAGAAAAAAGTTCACAAATTTAACTGCAAATGCTAACCACAGCTTCTGTTTTTTAAATGTATGTAGACTAGAAAAAACAACTGTTTTTACCATTTGATCCATATATGACACAAAACACCAAAAGGCATCTACTTCATTCTCCATAACATACAAGACAGGTGAAAGCAAGTCGCTCATTCCCTGGACATAACCTTGACAGATAAAAAAGACAAATAGGAATTTAGTTAAACTCAACATTAAAGCAGCCATTTTTCATGTGTGTTAAATGACTGAGCTAGACTGATGTTTGCATTACAAGTTTGCATATTCACTATAATTGGAATTAACAGCACAATTAAGAAGAGAATAGAGAAAAACTCTCAGAGCTTGTTTCTCCCCCTTGTCTCACTCTCCCAACTACCTTACCACTGATGTTTAAGTCAACTTATCTGATGTCCCATTGGGAACATCTCTAAGGGAGAACAAATTATGTGCATGTCTATCATCAGCAGTTGGTCTAACACATTTCTCCCTTAGACTCAAGCATAGCAGTTACATTTCTTAATAATATAATTATAATTGAGTAACTGACAAGAACTGGAATCAATGAGTATGAAAATAGGGAGCAGGTGTGAGAAGCGAAATAGAACAAAACAGGAAACAGGTAAATAATTCAAGAAGATCAGAAAAATCTATTCACTGTACATTTAATACTATAGGCAAAAATAAGTCTAGAGAAATGCAGCTGTACAAGACAGTTTAAAAGTCTTTTAAGGATCAATACCAGTTTCATTATAATTTGTCTTGAGAAATACATTCATAAAACATCTTATATGAACAGCAGATCTGTCTCCTTCATTCATATGGAGATTTGTGGCATTAACCAGACTCGCTGTAGCTGTTGTTGAAATATTGAAATGAGAATTATATCAATACTTAAGTGGCTTAGAATCCTTGGACACATGTAATGTCAAATATAGTGCATTTCCACTATTCTTTCTTGTTTATAAAACAAAAGACTTCTTCCCTGTACAAATCTAAGTCATCTGAACTGTTTTTGACAGACCAGGTAGTAAACACATTTTTCTTTCATAAAATGCATGTTACTGCAAGTTAATGCAGGTAGAAATGTGAAAAGACATAGAACAACCACATGTTCAGGAAGACTTTTAATTTTCCTTCTCTTTTAAAAGCCAAAGATTAAGTCTCTTTACGGACTTGACAGAAGGAATAAAGTTGACAAGAACTACAGCTCTGCAGCAAACATTTTAGTAATTAAAGATTTGTTCTGATTTTTTCCTTCAGAATTCATCACAAAACAGACTTTTAGAATCCCAACACTTTTCCTCATCATTTTCCACAGCCACTCATAAGTACAGAAGAGCCAGATGTCATGCTAGGGATTAAGTAGTGAAAAACAGCTAGAAAGGCCTATTCACTCCCAATCTGAGTATCTCAGCTATACTGTGATTTAAGACCAGTATTGTTTGTTTTTCCATCTATGCCAGATGCATACACTAAAGTACAGCTTTTGAAAAACTGTAAAGTGTACCCCCCTGAGAACCAGCTTTTGAAGCATTCAGAAATACAGACATGTTTACAAACAGCTGGTTAAGCATGTTGAGTTTTAATTACAGCAGTGGCAGCTGGTTTATCACTTTTTGTTAAATCCAATTAGAACTCTGAGAAGCAAACCTGCCTCAACTGTAGGAAAACAACAGTATGGGTAAAGTGAAAGCAAACTGCCACTTAAATTTCTAATCCCACCTCATCTGATGAATTCAGACACCTATGAGATTGGGTCAGAGAGAGTGAGAAACAGGATGAGAAAGCAAAGTTACTATGTTACTAAAATACGAACCCTGAATTTCAAGAAAGCATAGTAAGCAATATGAGATTAATTGTATTAACAGATCTTAACATAAGCAAAGCTTTACAACAGAAACTAAAGCAGCTATTATGTTCAGAGGAGCACAACTTACCTAAGTCGAAGTCATACATGCAATAAGTCATCAAAATATCATGAAGTAAAATCAATCCTGGATTATCTTCACCTTCATAGAACTTATTTGTTCTATCTGTTCTGTTCACATCTTTCTCTAAAAGCAGTCCAGATTTAAAAACATCTTCAGAACATGTTGTACAAAGCCAGTATCTAATCAATTCCACTGTTTTTAAACTGCAGTTTATTCCCTCAAACAATGTTGCAAAACTTTGAAGTCTTAAAGACAACAGTTGCATCACTGAAAGAATACTTGAAAAGTAAGAAAACTTCTCCAATGAAAGGATTATTTATTAAAAAAAAAGTTTGAAAGCTTTTGTTTCAAGTGGAAAAAATCTTGATTATAATTCAGTGAAAATTTTCTTCACTTACATGAATTAATAACAATTTTATGTAAGCTAGCTATGCAATGCCATTCATGAATACTTATGAGATACAGCATAAACCACAGCATCACCAACACATAAAGGTCACCATACCATCAGCAAAAAGACAGTTAAAGTTCACACTGCAGCACATTAGAAGTTCTTTGTAACAAATTCTTATAGCTCACATTGAGCAGAAGCCACTGCTTTCACTAGACACTTGATGCCTCAAATAAACTAAGTCTGTAGCATGTTCTTTAATAAAGTAGAATTCAAAAAGCACATTCTAATGTGAAAAATTGTAAGCGGCTTTAAGGGAAAAAAGACTTTCATAGTTTTGGATCTAGTTTACAGAAGTTTAATATTCCCATTTACATTTCAGATACTTAGAACAGAACTTCAGCCATTTTCTGAACCCCGAATGTTATTTTCAGTTAATAAGCTGTACACAAGTACACACATTCTATAAAGCTCAAGACCTTTCTTAACCCTTAACACATGTATAAAATTCTTATTGTATCACCGTTATTTTAAGACATTTTTTAAAAAAGGAAAAGGCATTTTGTTACTTAGTAAAGTAAAAAAAATCCAGTTGTTCTGCAGCACTATGCTGTATAAGCTCTGAATTACTCTGGTTAAGAAGAAGTTTGAAGTGTATAAGAAAATTTAGACATCTCTGAGAATAGCTACATGTTAGTTTTTCAGTGACTCCTCCCATATAGGTTACTCAAAAGCTTACATTTCTTCAATTTCATGCTGAATTGCAAAGGTTTGAGTTCACACAGTTGCATGTTTCCAAAACCAAATTTACCTATGAGACTCCTGTAGTCTCTTAACCTTGAATTTCGTTTTTCCTGCTCCTCACTGACAGACTTCCACTGCAGTTTCATCCTGAAATATTCATCCCTGAAGAAGAAAAATTATTTTGAAACCAGAATATGCTCCATCATTACATTTCCTTTTTTTTTTTTTTTAAGTATTCTATTTGTTCTTTGAATTAAATTGGGTAACAGCAACCTGCCGATGTTTTCACTTCAGTGTAATAATCTTTTTAAGAAGGCCTGTCAAACACTTCACTGTACTGAACAATCTTTAACAGCTACCCTTCAAGTTACATCTTAGAAAAAACACCAAACAATTTCATGTGTTTTGCAACTTGAAACTAGACTCACGTTTTCCTTTTTTGCAAGTTTGCTCTCTCTTCTTTAGTGCTATTCCAAGGAAAATATCCCAAAAGAAATTTCCATGCTTCTTTTCTTAGAGTATGGCAGAGTCCCTAAAGAAAAATTGGAAACATTAACAAAAAATACTAACTCAGTTTTGTGAGGAAACACTCCTATAGCTGTACAATGCTTCTGAAGGTAACAGCTTAAGAGAAATAAAACTTATGAATAAGCCCATTCTTGTTATACCGCAGCCAAACTTTATTTGCTAATTAACACATTCGAAGGTAAAGGAGGAAGAGAGCATGATTAAGCAGCAATACAACTTAGATTCATAAAAAACTGGAATGAAAACCAATTTAACATATGCTTTCAACTGTAGAACTACTGGATACTTCCTAAGAATATAAAAAGCTTTTTAAAAGGCATTCCTTTCTAAATTTTTGCATCACTGCTTGAAATAAAAAAACCTTAAGGGCACCACAGATACTAAGAAACAAAACAAAAAAAAGTACCTTTAAATCTATACATTTGAACATGATGATGTTTAACTGCCAAAGTTTTGTCTCCACACACTCATATTAAGTACTAACCTTCCATTTTCCATCTTTTCTTAACAAATATTTTAATCTAACAAGAGACTGCTAACATGCAGATGAACCTTTCAAGCAAACAAAAATACCACTGCTCACTGAGGGGCACTATTTGTCAGACATCTTTCTAAGTAATCATTTCTATATGACAAAAAATGTACTAGCTGAGTCCTCATACAACAAAACACACTTTTTCCAAGTCCTAAGACTTGGAAGACCCACAGTTTACCAGTCCAAGGCCATACTGCTGCCTCACTGCTTGATACCTCAATGTATTTTTTCCATTTACTATAAAATTAACTATTAAATTAAGGCAAGGAAGATGATGCAATAAATAGCATCAACCACTGAAATTTGGTGCTCCAGCAAAGCAGGAACTCTTCCAGCATGTGACAACGTAAGAGAAGCATTGTCTTTAAGAAACTCTCCATTTAATCTCCATTAATCCATTTAAGGGATCTCCATTTAATGTACTCGTTATCAAGAGTCATGAATAACATGGAGCACTCACTCCCCTGGCACTGAAAAAACACAAGTGACACTGAGACATTGGTGGTTGGGAAGAAAGGTTTGTAGGAATTGTCACAATTGCACAAGGGTCCTTACCTGGACACCTCAGGCACAAGTATATTAAAGAACAGTCACACAAACTTAATCTTTCAGTTTTGCTCTGTCCTCTTCAATATGTATTTTTAATAACTGTAATATCAATGTTATCATTCTCTACCCACGCTTAAATCCCCAGAAGATTGCATTCTTATAAACATGCATCAACAAGTTTAGAAAGAAAGCATTAGGGCAGCAGGATTCCCACAAAAATAAAAGGAAAACAATCCAACACTAAAGTAACATCAGGTAGAACAGCTACAGCAAATAATAAAAATTTATAAAACTTGCATCAATGAGACTGAATTCATATTCAGTGGATTCAATTTTGCAATTCCTGAATTGCAATTCAGTATACTGGTGAGTGTTTAGTACTGATGGACAAATCCAGGTAAACTTCTCAACAAAGAAAGGAAGCTTTTGATGAACAAGAAAACATCCTGAGAAGAAAAGAATAAACCCGATAGTCTAACACCTATAGAAGAATATCCTGAGCTGAAATGGACCCACAAGGATCAGAGTCCAACTCTTGACTCCACACAAGGAACCACCTAAAAAAAAAAAAATCAAACCCTCATCTTAAAGTGTCACCCAAACACTCATTGAGCTCCAGCAACTTAGTGCTGTGACCATTGCCCTTGGCAGTCTGTTCCAGGGCCTGAACACCCTCAGGTGAAAAATTTCCGAATCCCCAGCCTGACCCTCCTGTAATGCAGCTCCATGCCGTTCCCTCAGGCTCTGCTGCTGCCACCAGAGAGCAGAGCTCAGCCCAGCCACTCTCCTCCTCATGAGGAGCTGCAGGCCGCCATGAAGCCTTCCCTCTGCCTCTTTCGCACTAGGCTGAGGCGCAACGAAGCACTGGTGTTTTCCTGAAAGTCACTTTGATTTCTCCTCTCAATGACCTGGGCCTCTGTCTTTTAAAACCATTCCCTTTTAGTCAGCCACTGCAAGATCTCTCTATTTGTGCAGTACATTGTATGGTTATGAGATTCATGAGACATTCAGTGAGTATTATACCATCTTTCGTAAACCCACTCCAAAAATACCAACTAGCTCACGTCCAAAGTCCCTCATGAAGCATTACAAGTACAACAAAACCAGCATTACTATAGTTTGGGAAGGAGAGTGAAGGACTTCAGAAAAACAGATTACCCCTTTGAATATTGATTGCTTTATGTAGTCTACATTTAAAATTCTTCCTTCAGAATCCATATTTTTAGCCCATTCTTCAATTGACACAGGCTCTCTTCTACTAACTTCAGGCTGTTCTCCTAGATCGATCTGAAACAAACACAAAGTATTATACAAAACCCAATTAAATGCTTCAACGTTTTTGAACAATCACACAAATACTACTAAGCTTGTTAGGTCCTCATATTGAGTTCAACTATATTTTCTCATGTTCATATTTGCATTAGCCTTAAGTCTTCAGTTACATGTCTACATCAGGAAGCAGTATGGAGCACTGCAGGCAGAAAGAGCGAAACGCAGTGTGCTGAGGACCTGACTATCCAAGCTAGTATTTCAGATTTTGGAAAAGGATACATTTGACATAACCTTCCATCTCTACCAACACCTGCAAACTATGTTCAGGTTAGTGCCATAGACTGAATCCTCTAAACAACTAGAAATGTAATAGGTAGGTGCAGCGCAGCCAACAAAGACAACAGGGAGTTCCACTTCAAAAGCACATTCTTGACATGCACTGGAGCATCTAAAGAGAGAACTGAAGAACAGACTCAAGTTCAAGGATGTTATTCTGAAACCAGACTGAATATCATGGCTGCAAATTAAAGTAAGCTACCCCTTTAAAAAAAATCATTTTTACTTTTCCACTAAAAAATTAAGTGCGAGGCAATAAATTTTCAGAATTGCATAGTTCATACAGCTGTTGTTAAGCTATCAAGACTGTTTTGACCTCAAAGAAAAACAGTATTCAAAATAGTTTAACATTAAAAACATATCAGCTCCTTAAATAGTAATCAGAAGATTTACAAAGTATTTTCTACTTGTCTATAAAAGATAACAACAGAAGCCTAAAGTAATTCCTGATCCAACTACAACTTCATTCTAGTTTTGGTTTAAGTGGTACATAAATCCATACATTTACAGACTATGGACATTAATTATCCAATTTATTATTTTTAAATCTTCGTAACCTATCTTCTTAAATCCCTTAAAACAAACTGAAGTGTTACAGTGATTAGCCACGGAAGTTATTTATTAGTCTGAATACCCCAATTTTACTTAATATCCAGCCAGAGAAGAAATGTTAACCGTGAAGTGAGAGTTCAGTTTGAAGGGTACCTATTCAGTATGATAAAAAAAAACTCCCACTTCAATAATCACAAATATTTTTGCTTTAAAAGCAAAATTTGTATTTGCAGGAATAAAAATGACGTACTCCAGAAGTAGCTGCTGATGATTTTACTCTTGCCAACAAATGACAAGGCGGATGGTGTCACAACTGCCTAGTATAAACAGCACCACTCACCAAGCTTCAAGTCCTAGAATTCCTTCAAAGATGTGCATAAAAAGAATCAATACATCTGTGTCACATTCATTTACACACTCACTCGTGTAATGACTTCAAATCCTGGTTCCTCCTGCTGATTTATCTTCAACCCTGGAATAGCATCGTTGAGGAAGTCTGCCATTTCTGAGGGTGGTCGCCTTTGAGTTGAAGGGTCACTTAATCGGAAGCTATCAAAAATATAGTTTGTGACTTTGGAAAACCTTCCCATTGTTACCGTGTATGGATCTTTCTTCCATTTCTGTGTTATAACAAGGAAAACAAGCAAATTATGAGAAGCCTCAGATCATTTAGAATTCTTGTGCTCAAAGGAAATAAAAACAGCAAGTAGAGCATAGTAAGACTCAAAGTTATTAAAAGTCTCACGTGTAAGTGATTTCACACAGTGCATTCATTGCATGATACAGAAAGTTGAGATCCTAAGTATTAAAATACTACTGATTGAACTGAAAGATTAGATAGCAGTATGCTGAGTAAATCTGACCTGTGTACACAATCAGATCGGACATGGTGTTTACTCTCCTGTGATTAATGACACAAAACCATTTTTCTGCCTAAGCCTGTCTACCTTTACATCATGTTGTACCTTGAAAATTCAAGTACTCTGCTAGCAATCTCACAGAAAACTTTTATATGACAACTAAGTCCAGAAACTAATGCACTTCTGAAGATTCCATAAATTAAATGAATCAGTAGGTCAGAACTCTGGCCTCATTCAATCACCAGAAATTTTGCTGCTGACCCTCACAAGGCCATAAACTCCATCAAGCCATAAACAGTTTTAAGAAAAAAACTGTTTTAAGCAATACTTGTGCTCTTTGCTGCTGTGTTTCTAGCCTCTCTTCAAAACCACCAGAAAACAAGAAGAGAATATTTGGTCAGGGAGAGCTTAAAAATTTCTTTTCCACTTCTAAAACTATCTGTACCCAGATGCACACAGTGGCAGGCAAAAGTAACTTGAATAGGTTTAGGCTTTAAACAGGGAGGTTAAGAAACAAGTAGCATACCAAACAGCTCACTCAGAAGCATGCTTCCTAGTAATCATTCATTTTAGGATACAATTAATGGTCCTAGAATGGCAATGACTAAGGGGATTTTTGTGATATAGAAAGGCTGGCATTTTCCTTTTAATAAACTTCTTCCAAATATTTAAAAAAAAAAAAATCAAACAATACATACCTGCAGTAAGCCATATGATGGTTCATCTAGGAGGTTTTCAAATGATTGAGACAGAGACTTATTCTGAGAGTTCACAAGAAGAATGAGTTTATCCTGTGGAGATCTACAATAAAATTAAAGCATGGGGTTTCTGCAAGTACCACAAGTTTTTCTTGAAAATGTTTTAGAACATTTACAGGTCTTAAAAGTCACATTTCAGGTTTTGTGCAAGGAAAACAAGTCTGATGCAAGATTACTTTTGGCAAGACTCCATGTGCTAGCTAGAAAACAGGACTTTTTTTTAAATAAGATTATGTCATTCACCCTGGGTTATGTTACATACCTTTTCAAAAGATTACTATGCTGTAATAAGAAATTACATGAGGGTGACAACTTTCAGAGTAAATATTTTCTATATTGGAGTGGACAAAAAAAGATGACAGGAAAGGAAATTCTTTGAGATAATCAAACACATACACCTGAAATACCTTTAACATAATTGTGTGTGAAAAGAACCCATGTCACCATGCACAGTTAAACAACTCTTCCTACCAATTAGTAAATCTTATCTTTTTATACACTGTAAAATATTACATAAAAGACTACAAACTGCCTTTCATTGTATGAAAGAAAATCAACAAATTTCTAACCAATACTATTACAACTGCTACTGTCAGCCTAATTCTAAAATTCATCTCAGTAAGAGTTTACCAACACAGCACTCCAACAACTGTATTGTAAAACAAAACATCTGATTACCGTCACACAAACATTATTGTGTAGACTCCAAATTCTAAATGAACACAAACCTGATTTGGCATAACTCACTGCATTTGTATACTCATGTACTTAAGGCTTGCACAGCCAGATGAAAATGATAGCAAAGGCAGCTGGAAGTGTGCCACTCCTAGCATTTCATCTTTCTTTTGCTCTCATTCCTCCTACACCCTCTTCCCTCTTCTGGCACAGGAACACGATCAATTAAGCAGCTCCTGAATCAACACCACTTACAGCTCATTATAGTAAAGCAGTGACAACAGTTCAGAAGCCGATCTCATGTTCAAGCCTAGAAGTTAGCAGCCAGGCTGAAGAACGCTAAGCTCTTTGCATCGAATCCTAACCTATTGCACAGACTTGCATTTATAGAACACCTTACTATATCACCCTTTCCCAAAGTTTAAACTCACTATTTCTCGTTTTCAAAAGAAAAATTACTTTTATTTTTATTAATACCTGCCTCATCTACCACGTTATTAAAATCAAAGATAAGAACTTTTTAATAAGCCTTATCTGTCTTCAATTCCAACATGACAGAACACTGTCGGATATGAAATCCAACAAGAGATCTCATTTTGAAACAACCAGACACCACAGCCAAAGATCTGAAGCAGCGAAAGTTAATGAAGCTCAACTGGCTTTGACTAAAAAAGGCAAAGGCTGAGTCACGTACTCTGTTTTTCTCACCCAAAAGAACAAAAAACTTTGTATGATACTTTCATTGTAATTAAACATTTGCTCTGGACAGCTTGTTCAGTATGGGCAGCTGCTTGGCTAATGGTCAAAACACACTTGTGAACTAGAAACTTCATTAAACATTTGTTCAGAATACTGAAAGTTAGAAAGTGTCAGCAGTGTGGTATTTTCTCAATATTAGCCTGGTGCAACAAAACTAAGAAAAATTCTTTAAAGCAACAGATTACAAGTATTTTGTTCAAGTTTAGCTCCCTCACACATACCAATTTCAGCAATGTCACAAGATTTAAAAAGGCACAGTGGTAATGAAAGCCTTTGAGGTAGCATAAACAGAGGAAGAAAATACTTAAGACAGAAAGGTATTTTAGGAAAAAGCTTAATTCTGTATTAACATCTGTACCTGATATCTACATAGATAGAAAGGTTGGAATAATTGCATTGCTGCATACTTCCTTATGCAATCCAGAAAACATCTTTCCCTACAAGAGGCTGTGTGCTCTGTGTGCTTAGATACTTAATTAAGCATAAGTAGATACTACAAAATGACATAAATGCACAAAGCATAGTTTGTCACCTCAAGTTACTTAGCGTATTATTTTCTTACAACAGAAAGAAAAAAATCATACATGAATAGACCACAGAGAAGACTTTGGTGCCAAAAATAGACCTAAAAGGAAGAGAGGACTTTTAAGTATTCTTACTAAAACTGGAAGTTCCTGTTCAGCTCAATGCTTGACTTCATGCAAATTTAATTTTCATAGCGTCATCATAGTTCTCAAACTACATACATAGCTCCCAAAGTATCTGCTGTTCCAGCCTGCAACACATAGTACAGTCTCAGGCAGAAATACCATGCAGCTCTGCACATTCCAAATGCCCAGATATCACCTCAAGCTTCCCTACCTTCCATTACCAGGGAACTCTATCTGTTAAGCACTCCTGAACTCTCCCATGCATACAGCTTTGGATCAGACTGCACAGGGCTTTTAAGAACAGATCTGAGGACATGGCAGCCTCTCTAAACACAGCTTCCTCTCCCCAGTCTGAGAGGAAATGTTTTGTACTGTTGCTGCAGGAATATCCACATAACCTCCTGTTCAGGTAACAAAGGACAAGAACTAAGCATCCACTGAGTCAAATAAAGGAAGAATGGTTAAGTGGCCAACTATTCACCACTGACTATCTGAAAGAGACAGTGTTTGAAATAGGAACCAAAATCCTTACCTGTTTCACCCCCATTCAATTACTCACTAATAAATCGATTTTATGTAGCAATGTGAATTACAATTATTTGTTGCACCTGACTCTACAGAACTGAAACTGTCACCCAGGGTTTCCTAGCCTCCAATTGTATAGAGAATATTCTTAACTACCTCTTCACCTTGTCTCCCTACTACCCTCCTGCTTTGGTCTTCACAGATATTTTTCTTTAAAGGCTTGCAGACAATGCTACCAACAGTACCATTTCACCAGCTGGTCACACTGACCAGATCACCTTCTCCAAGCAGTTGACAACTTAGCACAAACTTGGCCACCACATCCTCATATTGCCAAAGTCTTCTGCAGATCATTTTGCAAATCAGATTGAGTTCTGTGGCAAAATATTTATATATCAAGTGATTTAATTAATAGTACTGTATCTCAGACACCAATGGCAACATTCAAATATTCTCCTTATAGGAGTAGATCTCAAATTTTAAACACAAGTTACCCCAAGTAGCTGCTCAAGATAGATTTAACTTTATGTCATCTGAGTGCTCAAAAGAAGCTCCCGAATCCACTAGAGGGAGCTACTGAGGTATGATGAAGCCAGAACATTTCAACAGATTCTGAATGGGCTTATAAAGCAATCCACAGTTTAAAACTTCAGCCTGTACATTCAGTACATAAAGTTACTTTAGACACCTTGAAAATTGATTCTACTAACAAAAAAAGGGATGGTAAAATACATCAGAAAGCATTAATCTGAAACTCGCTGAAGAATCAAAGTAATAAACCAATAATCCAAATTCTAAATCAGAATAAGATTGTCTGATACTTACTCTCTCAGCACAACATGATTTTCAAGGCATTTAATAAAAAGTTTGCTGTCTCCGTGATGAAAGTGTAGAGCTGGAAGCTTCACATCATCCTTCAGACAGAACACCAAATAAGACCATCCCATGCCTTCTTTGTTTTGTTTGATTGATTTCAGATCTGTCAAACTGAAGAGGAATGACCACGTGCTTTCTCCATTTGTGTGATTTGTAGCATCTTAAAAACAAAATTATCATGTGATTTTAGTTTGGTTTTCAGTATTAGCAACTACAAATGTATTATCTGTCCTTGTTCCTCTAAACAAGCCAAAGAAATCCACAGTAAACAAAAACCCAGCATTAGTTCTGACAAAAAAATATATGTACTGTAACTACTACAGCCATTTCTCATTGTATTTTCTCATTTCATACATATTTTTGAAGTAAGCAGTTCCATCAGACTGCTTCCTTTAAGATCTGTCAACAGAGTATGAAAATGATTCAGTAGGTAATGTACAACTGCTGTACAAAATTGCAGTAACATGATAAATCCCACCAGCACCTTCACATGGTAGTATTGCTCAAACTAAATGTAATATACATCCTAATCTTGTATAATACTGTATATACTGTTGCACACCATGTGCATGCCTTGTCGGGCTGCAACCAATATAAGGGAGATGGAACTGAAAAGCTATTTCCTCCTTTACTGTGCAAATCTGTGCAAGACAGTAATATATTCAAAACAAAGGGATTCAATGCTACTTCACCAGGAAACTGGAAAGAACCAACATGCCTGCAGGGACACTGGCATGCACCCCATCCTACCACCATCCAATTACAGCCAACAGAAAGTAGTAACAAAAAAATATAATCTAAGTCAATGGGACTCACTGACACTTATTTTGGATCAAGATGAACTCTGCCTCTTAAAAATTAAGAAAAAAAATCAATACAAACCAACAGCATAATAAAACATTCTATGCCTGACAGACATTTAGCCCTGTATGATCTTGGAAGCTCTTTACAAACACAGAATTGTACAAGCTAGGATTGCACTTTACCCCAAGATGTTCACAGTTTGAAGTCCAAAACCTGTTCTCATAAATGATATATATAACAGCTACCACCACTTAAAACTACCATGAAAATGGAAAAACAACCACAAGGGTCTGCAAGTTTAAGGCTGACAAATATAAAGAAACAAGAATTATAAAGAAAAATACGGTGATGAATCAAAGGAAAAAAAGCTGGCTACGTTTTTTTTTTTTTTAAGATCACATATCTGAGATAACATAATAATGCAGCCATGAAATTATTTTCCTAAAGTACGTTCATTAGACAAAACAGTTTTTCTAAGCTTCCACATAGAAAAGTCTCAAGTATTGACATAACTATCCATTCCATCTCCCCCTGCTGTTCCAATGCTGAAAAACATTTGAGTAGTAAACTTTTTTCTCTCTAATAATACAAATCCCATAGGAGAGACTGAAGGAACTGGGGCTGTTTAGTCTGGAGGAAAGGAGGCTGAGACCTTATTGCTCTCTTCCAGTATCTGAAAGGTGCTTACAGCGAGAGTGGGTTGGTCTCTTCTCACTGGTGACAGGACAAGGGGAAATGGCCTCAAGTTATGTCAGGGTAAGTTTAGGTTGGATATCAGGAAACACTTCTCTACAGAAAGGGTTGTTAAGCACTGAAATAGGCTCCCCAGGGAGGTGGTTGAGTCACCATCCCTGGATGTGTTTAAAATCCATTTGGATGTGGTGCTAAGGGACATGATTTAGTGGAGGGTTGTTAGTTAGGGTAGTATGGTTAGGTTGTGGTTGGACTTGCTCAGGTTAGAAAAGATCTTAAAGATCATCAATTCTATGATTCGAAGAGTTCAATGCAGACAAAACTGTCACATCATTTACATTTCCTGACCACAGGATGTTGGATTTACCATGTTTTCCATACACTTCTCTACCAATTCAGAGAAAACATTAGATTGGAGGCAGAAAGCAGGTATTACACACTGAATTGCTTTTCCACACCCAGAAATTCACCTCTTGTCACAAATGAGCCCAGCTTTTCAATTCCTAATGAAATCCATTATACTGGATTGTGAAAACAATTCTTCAATTACAAGCCAGAAGAAAGAAAAAGGAAGTTCACTTATTTTTGAAGTACCTCCATTTGAATGGGGTTTCTTTTTAAAGGAGACGGTGGTGACCATGTCCCATTCTGCTTCATAATTGTTTGGACGGTCTGATCCTCGGGAGGATTTTTCTTTGGGTGCTGGAGTCCACTCTACCACAGAGCTGGAATCCTAAGCAAAGAAAGTAACCATCAAAAAAAAAGCATAAGACAAGATTCCCAGATTCAACGAGCTGAAAGAGCATCTTCATTTTCATAGATGAAAAGAATTTTTGCTATAAAGTTCTAAACTCAACACAAGAAATTTTTATTTATAACAAGAACTAAGAAGAAAGAAGGTCTTTCTTACATTCAACACAGTGCTTAAATATCTAAGCCTCCTTCACAGACTCCACCAACACAAAAGTTTATTTAAACATAAAACTTTCATCTTTCTGCTTTATCACATCTTCTCAACACAGCTTAAATACTGGAGCTCAGAACTTTAACAGACTTCAAATATTTCACATTATAACAGTGTCTCTCTGTTTTGAGTCTAATTATGAAGAATAACCACCATCCAACAAAACATGTGGGGAGATTGGAGACTGTGATTTGCTTACGCTCACTTGGTCTTTGTTACTCAGACAGTTCTTTTATTTTATGTATATATATAAAACACACACACCCACAACCTGAACACAAGAAATATCCTACATATAGCTATTAATACCAATGACAGTCATGTATAATAGATTTTGCCTCCAGTTACAAGATCACTTACCCATAAGTTCCCACAAAATCAAATCTCCAGAAAAACAGAATGAAGGACATTAACTAATAAACGTACCTTTCCTGCACAGAGGATATTAGAAGTATCCAAAGTATCATCCTGTGGTCTCCAGTCTACTATAACTTCATTTTCCTACAATACAAACAATAAATCTGTGTAATAAATTACACATCCCCCTATTTAGTCACAGTATGATTCAGGGGCAACTTACACTATATATAAACGACACAGATGACAAAAACAATGCAATGCTCATTCATTAATGAAATCTAATACTTAAGAAATCATTTAAAATTTCTCAAATGCATTAGCTTGGCCAACAAATGTAAGAGGCTTCTACAACTGTATTGTATGAATACCTTCTCTATGACACGTAGTACTCCTGATATGAAGTTGTCCTGATCATCATTTTTTCCACAGGACGGATGAATGAACACACCATCTTGCTCATATAAAACCTAAAACAAAGAATATAATGGAATAGGAGACAAATCATTATTCATTATCATTTTGATTCACCTACATAGGCCGAAGTGAATGCCTGAAGCTTCTTACATGATCTTCGTTTTTTTCCTCCCCTTCTAAGATTCTCACATAAATCAAGAAACAATAGAAACCAGAATTGATAACACTTACTCTCTAACTAATACAGCAGCTATTATTACTCTGTCAGAAAGTCACCAAAATGCACTGAACAGTTTGGTGTTGTTTTTTTTTTTTTAAACAAGCAGACAGAGGTTAATATGAAAGCACTATATGGCATTTAATATATTAGAAGACTTTCTTACATGGCTCACATTTCCCCCATTTGCTATTTTATCACGTTGAATTGATAACCTAATTTTAAACCAAAAAATGGCCTTACATTCAGCATGAGAAGCAAAGGTTCTATTTCAATGCTGGAATATGCAAGTCAGATAAGAGAGGTTCACAGGACAATGCACTGCCCACCCAACTTCAGCATGCAAGTGCTCACAAAAATACATCCAAAAGCAACAATCCTCATACAATTCTGATCATGCTTTTAAAAAAATTTAAAAAAAAAAGTTCTTCTCTACCAAAATGCAGTAGGTTCTTCTAAGCCACACTGCATATCAGAGCTCTATAAACAATGTAGACAAGCCCTTTTTAAACAAGTCTTCTAGAGCAAGAAGTCCCTAGTCCACCAAGATAACATTTTGCAGTAATTTTCTATGATTATGTTTGTTTTTCAAACTGAGCAGTAAATGCTGTCTTAAGAAATACATATTTTTAAAAGGCAAAATAATTTAACTACTCAATAGAGGGAATCTACATTTCTTTAGTACTAAAATATCAGTATCTTTTTGTGAACATACAAATTCAGAGTTACAAAATCATCATGTCTGCAGTCAGGCCAGTAAGCCAGAAGTTCAGGTGTGCAAGCAATATTGCTTGCAGGAGCTGATGAGGTCACTCTGTCTAAACTCCTTCTTGAAGGCCTAATGGCAGTACTATTAAGCTCCCTCCTAAATACTAGGTGTCTTTTTCCTTTTCTCTATTACAGGTTCTTGTTTTTTCTATTAAAAAAATTAAATAAGATCCTCCTTTTATTTCTAACAAACACCTGCTCTGAAATTCAGTCTCTGGTTAAACACCGTAACTTTAGATGTTATTTAAATTGTGCCTTCCAGTATTTGGACCTGATCTATCACCACAATTAGAAGTATGAACCAAAGTGATCAGTCACTGGGACAGCTGTTCCAGATACAACTCTGCTTTGGAGTTACACTGGTATGTGTGCATTTCTGGCAGCAATTTCACTAAGTATAATAAACTACACCTCCTCAATCTACTATATTACACCTTTATTCCATGCCAGCAAAACAGCCCTACTACCAGTCTAATTATTAACATTTATATTCTTTTTCATCCATATGACAGTAATCACATAACTGGAAGACTCTGCATTGCTCTGCGTACCAGATTGACCTCTGCTGTAACACATGATGAAATCGAGGAACTTGGAACATGCTCAGAAGTTCAGAGGATGATGTCTGTAAAACACAGCCCTTGTCACGGTGCAGTTTATTTTATTCCTATCATTACCCCCCCCCCCCCCCCCCACAAAAAAAAAACCTTGAGGCTGAGTTGTTATTGGATAAGAATAAACTCTGACAAGTCTGATCTTGTGTTTACTTCTGTTATCAAATACTTAACAGAGCTTAAGGAGCTGGGTTTTTTTTTTTAGAATCAACAAAACACTGAAGAAACAAGATTGAGTCAATACAGTAGCACAGAAGATGCAATAAGGTATCTAAATTGAGAAAAAATATGGCATTCACCATTCATTCCAGTCAGTCATTAACAACTCCGTGCCATGCGGAGACAGTGGCTATTCTACCAATTAAACTGACAGAGGGGCTGTAAAAACAAGAAGCACTGCACAAAACTCAGGAAAACTGCAATGGCTGTTTTCCACTGACCACAGAAAACATAAGGAAGAGGTTCAGCAGCAGCTCAATTGACAAAAAGCCACCCTCTGAGGATGAGCCTCCTCTGCACTGTCCTAGGGCAATGCTAGTTCAGGTTATGGAAACCTGCTGAAGTATTTATGTTCCATGTCCAGCAGAATAACTACCTGAAGTCCAGGTGTTATCCCAGTAAACAGGTGGTAACATTCTTATACTGAAGGAGGCAGTATGGATAATTCATATTGCCTGTTCATTATGCTGTATATGAGGAGGAGTCAATGGGTGATGCTTGTTGCATTTTACTGTCAGAGACATACATAAGAAGGCCTTCACCACAGCACATGAATTACAATACATCCCAGACCACAAATGTTTTGGACTGAACTCTTGTCATTTGATAGCACTGTGCATTTGCAGATCAGAAGCCAATCATACTCTGGGCTGCATCAAAAAAAGGGGCAAACAGCAGGGCGAGGGAAGGAATTGTTTCCCTCAACTCTGTCCTCACAAAGCCCCATCTGGAGAGTTGTGTCCAAGCCTGGGGACCCCAGCAAAAAAAAAACAAAACAAAAAAACAGTTGTTCAGTGAGTCTGAAGGAGGCCATGAGAGATGAGAGGGCTGGAGCATCTCATCTATTGAGACAGACTAAGGGAGTCAGGCTTGTTCAGCCTGGAGAAGTCTCAAGGGAGACCTCATTGCAGCCTTCCAGCACCAAAAGGTGGTTTACAGAAAAGATGGAGGGGGACACTTTAGCAAGGAGTGCAGTAATAAGACAAGGAATATTGGCTTTAACCTAGAAGAGGGTAGGTTTAGGTTAGATACAAGAAAAATTCTTTACTCAGAAGGTGGTGAGGCACTGGCACAGGTTGCCCCATCATCCCTGGAGGTGTTCAAGGTCAGGCACTGGGCAGCCTGATCCAGTGGGTGGCAGCCCTGCCCATTGCAGGTAGGGTTGGAACTGGATAGTCCAACACAAACCACTCTGTGACCCTATGCTATCGTGCACTACTGCTCACACCTTACATGCATTCTCTTACCTCTGTCATACATCAGCAACTTGTCCAACACAGGAAAAAGTGGAGAAGCTGTGCAACAATCCTGCTAACTCTGTCTTTCAGACATTTCACACTCTCTTCCCATATCCTTACACACACTCTCCTTTTCTGCCAGAAATTACAAACCAGGGCTTCAGTCACTCTTCCAAGATGCCATCCAGCTCATGACAGACACAGCATGCAGCACTTACAGAGTGAACCAGCCAGTTTGGATCACTGAGTATTGTGGCACCGTTCAAATCCAGATTCTAGCAACTTTTCTACATTTTTGCCTCATATTATAACATCAGGTAAAAGACCTCATTGTGGATTCAACAGCTGAAGCAGCAAGCAACTGAGTAAAAGTCTGAACACTCCACAGACTACAAATTAAGGAAAAATGGGTCTGCCTAGAAGCATTAACAACAGATATAGCAGCTGATTAGCATCTTATTTTACAGATGCTATTACAGAAGGTACCTTTTTACAGAAGGTAAACAATAAAAGACGCAACACAGTAAGGAAAACAATACAGGCCGATAAAATAAATTCAATTTAGTCAGAGGCTGTTCTGAGCTAATTTGCATCAACAAAATATAATACCATAGATCAGAGCTGGTCTTTAAGTTAGAAAAATAATAGATCTCAATTTACAAATTTGCATCATGCTGCTTTAATTTCCACCTCCCTCTTTGGAACAGCTGAGCCTTCTCCAGGGCTTATTAACATTACTCAGCCATCACCAGGCACATCACTGGGCACGGCTACATCAGTTCCACTTCCAGTCACCAGACACCACCATATTTGAGTACTCTGCAGAGCATCAGGCTCATGTCAGTTGACCAACGTGATCTTTTGGTACAAAGAAGATATCTAAAAAGATATCTGAGTTTAGTAAGTGGATAAAACTGTTTCCTTGTACATCCTGTTTGCTGAGTCTATGGCTCAACCTGTTTCCTAAGATAGTAAAATTTCTCACCCTGCTAATCTTAGAAGTATAAAACTCTTACAACCAGTTTCCAAGCAGGGAAGTGAAAACAAATACAGATATTCATGTGAGAAAGCTTGCAACAATGGGAACCATATATCACAAAAAAGTACCCTGCTTTACAGCAGTAAGTTCTGCAAGACAGTGCTGTAGATCTTTGTCGATCCTCACTACGAAAAAAATCTCAATGATGTCATCTCCACACACACATTACAGCATTACATTACTGTTTAGTAATACCTACAGTGCTACTTCAACACTTCTAGAACTATGCTGGCCAAATATCTGAGCTTAGACCACGCTTTAACTTGAAGAGCAAGGACACAAGCAAATGACAAATAACTTCTCTGACAGCCCATGCGTCAGCTGGTAATTTGAGAAAGATCTAACAGCCCATATGCTGAAAACAGATTCAACTCCAAGAACATAAACCAAAAATCATTACTGTCTTTAGAACAGCTGTAATAATAGCCTATACACTGACAGGCTAAATTTATACTTCTCCCCACAACTTTCTACCTCATTTCTGAAACTGTTTTCCATTGTAAGGGTGAGAGTTGGTCCACAAACAGTTCTCTTAAATAAGGAAAATAAATAAGCAACAGAGATAATACACCTGCTACACCTGCTTTTATGAATAAAGCCAAAAGCTCTGAAAACAGAAGACCTTACTGACATTTTACTTGCAGTAAAAAAAATGCAATCTCTAAGAAAGGGTAAAAAATAAAATGTCCACACTCTTCTACAGCAAATGGTCATTAACAAAAAACAAGTTTGGGCTCCCGAAATCAACAACATTAAGTTTTCTGGAACTGCATTAACTGTACTGAGAAAAATAGTGAAAAAACCTTCACAGTAAAAAGGAATAAAAAGGAATCTAAGGAAAGCAATACATACAGTTGCATGAGGTAACTATAGTTCATACCACATTAATGTATGAAAAAGAAACCAGAGAACTGTAAAAAAAAAAATCAGGAGATAGTATGAAATAATCAAGTTAGAATCCACTGCTATTAATAATGTCTGGGATATAAAATTGAACAAAAAAAGCTATGGCAGAAGGGGAAAGTACACAGAGGGTGAAAATAAAAGCCTCATTCTGATATGATTTGCTGAGGGAAGATTTCATTTGTTTTAGGAGGAAGTTCTTCACACAGAGGGTGGTGACGCACTGGAACAGGTTGCCCAAGGAGGTTGTGGATCCCTGGAGGCATTCAAGGCCAGGCTGGATGTGGCTGAAAGTCAATTCTGCGATTCTGTGGCTCTGGGCAGCCTGGTCTGCTGGTTGGCGACCCTGCACATAGCAGGAGGTTTAAACTTGATGATCACTGTGGTCTTTTTCAAGCCAAGCCATTCTGTGATTCTATGATTCACGAAATCTGAGCCAAGGCAGGCTACCACAGCTCTTTAGCATACCACAATATACACTCTGTAGGATTTTCTTGTGTAATGTTTCTTAAAAAATTATTTAGACAATAAAAAGCATTATTTTCATGTTATTGAGCATGGAGCTCTGCCAAGTGAGCCTAAAGCACTGCACAAGCTAATAGCCACTACTCTCCCAAACATCTATCACCTGAACTACATCATTAAAACACTGCACAGCCAGAAGGAAAAACAGAATTTAGGACCCTCATCATTTGGAAACACCAAAACGCAGAAAGCCATACGTGAGAATACCAAGTCACACTGCATTTACTCCACCTGCAGCGAAGTTTCCTGCGTTTGTGAAGCCATCTAGAATCCTGCTGCCACCCAAACAAGCAACTTGTGACCCAGTGCCTTCCATAAACCAATAAAAAAGTAACCCGGCCAAAAAAAAAAAAGCACTTTCTTTTGTATTTTGCTCTAGCTTGCTAAAACAAATTACTTAGTGATCAAATAAGTACAGCATCCAAGCAAGCAGAAGTGCAACACGCAGGTGGCGAGAGCTGCAGAAGAATGAATCTGCACACATCAACTACTTGGTAAAGTTTTAGAAAACGCAAGTGTCACTTTGTCCTTTGTTTCAAGAGCTCTTAGTTTACCAAGATGCCATAATTAAACAACATGAAGAAGAGGAAGAATGTCGAATCAGAAGTGGTGTTAACACGTAGCTGTGAACATGAAATAACTGCCACAATGCAGAGATCCGTACAAGTTTGGACAAACCGACTTTTAGTTAAATGAACAACAAATACAGGTTAAATTCATAAATGAACCCCCCAGCGGTACTGCTGATAACTGTGATAATAAAGCTGCCTTTAGAAAAAGAAAACTGCAGGAAGAAGTTTTTGATGAAAATTTATGGGAAAAATAATGCAAAATGCTCATCAACACCCGATAAGCTACCATTTAAGCTGGATTTTAACAAGCAGGAAGATCTCAAGATTTATTTCTCAGGCTTTTGGGGAAGATGCTTTTTAGTAACATGAAGATCCCTGCATTAAGGCTTTGAATGAAAAAAATCTACTTCACTTCCAGGATCGAGCCCAGAAGAAACACAGCAGTACCCATTCTTTCACTTAACCGAAAACTAAATTGGTGCATCTGGAAACAGCCAGGAGGTCATCCCACATCAGCTACACTACAACCCGAATGCCTAACAGCAATTAAGGGATTTCTGAGCTGTAACAGAGGATATGGTAAAGCTGCCCGACCAAACCAGTCCCTCCCAACCTCTCCGCAGAGGGAGAGACGCATTTCCCTGGCAAAACCTCCCCCTGAGGACTTGAGGGCAGAGCGGACATGCGAACTCAGCCCAGCCCTCGGGTTCCACCTCGTCGAGCTCCGCTTCATCCTCAAAGCGTTCTGCGTTTCGGAACAGCGACGCGAGCGAATGGGGCGGGCTGGCAGCGCCGCGGGCGGACACACGTAGGCTGGGAGAGCCCGAGAGCCACACGGCGACCGCCCCGCGGAGAGCCCGCGGCCTCCCAGCACCGCCAGGCCCGGGGGCTGTGACGGAAACCCGTTACGCCTCGCGGAGAAAAGGCCCTCAGAGCCACGCAGAGACCCAGCGGCATCCCCTCCCCTAGAACGCAGCGAACCCAGCGCGGCCTCCGCGTGAGGAGGCGGCGGCGGTCCCGCGGCGGCGCTCGTTACCTTGCCGCTCGGAGGCGCCGCCATGTTGCCGGAGTGTTTATGATGACGTTGCGCTCTTCACGTGCTTCCACGCTGACCCACAACAACGCCCGTCGGCCCCTGGGCGGAAGGCGCATGCGCAATCGGGCGGAGACGCCCCAGCGCCCGTCTCTGCGGTAGTGCGCCTGCGCGGAGGGCGGAGAGCCGCTCAGCCACCCCTCTTCCCGCGTGCGTGGGTTGCGGGCTCTGGGAGCGATGTTCCCTCTTAGGGTTCAGAAGGGGGCGGTGGTGGAGGTATGGAGGTGGACGCTGAACCTTCCTGCCGATATCCCGTTACATTTTGTTGTCGTGTGACAGAACGGCATCTGACGCGCATCTGAGGCAAAGGAACTCACTGAATTTCTTCATGGGGAAAACGTTGCACCGCTGACGTTCACTGACGCTTGCTGAATGTTTTTGGAGAGCGAAGAGTGGATGTGAGAGGTGATGGGTGACCCGTTTCAGCAGCAGTGGGTCGCCTCTGCTGGTGCTCGTTTTGAAAAGCAGGGCATGCAGGCTTTTGTTCATTGCTGGCAAAAATGCATAGCTAGAGGTGGCGACAGTATTTTTTGGCTGAGAACTTGCTCTGTCAAATAGTGTTACTGAACTCTTTGTGGTATTCCATGGAAATAAATAAAAGGCATTACTTTCAGGGCAAGTTGTGTTTTTACAATGGAAGGGAAGGATGGCATCCAGACGGACTTGGACATGCTTGAAAAGTGGGCAGACAAGAATCTAATGAGGTTTGACGAGGCCAAGTGCAAGGTGTTACACCTGGCTCAAGGCAATCCCAGATATCTGTAAAGACAGGGAGAACTCACTTAGAGCAGCCCTATAGGGAAGGACTTGTTGTTCTAGTGGACAAAAAGCTGGACATAAATCAGCAGTGTGCTCCTGCAGCCTAGGAGGCCAACAGTACCTTGGGCTGCAGCAAAAGAGGGGTGGCCAGAAGGGAGAGGGAAATGATTGTCCCTCTCTACGCTGCCCTTGTGAAGCTCCATCTGGAGTATGGTGTCCAGGCCCCCAGTACAGTAAGGATGCAGAGTTGTTGATGCAGGTCCAGAGGAACACAAAGATGATCAAAGGGCTGGAGCACCTCTCCTGTGAAGAAAGGTTGTTTAGCTTGGAGGAGTTTTTGGGGAGATCCCACTGCAACTTCCAGTAGTTATAGAAAGTTTACAAGAAGGAGGGGACTTTCTACATGGTCTGATAGTGAAAGAACAAGGGATATTGGCTTTAACCTAGAAGAGGATAGATTTACCTTAGATGCTAGGAAGAAATTTTTTATTCAGAGGTGCTGGAACAGGCTGCCCCGAATATGAATACTCCATCCTTAGAAGCGTTCAAGGTCAGGTTGGATGGGGCCTTGGGCAACCTGATCTGGTGTTTAGCAACCCAGCCCGCTCAGAACTTGATAAAAAACCAAAGCTATGTGCCATTATTCCCTATGAAAGGCAACAACTGGGGTTTGGGGGACTAGACTTGAAGTTCTTATAACAAAAGTTATAAGAAATATACAGCCTTCAAAAATCATTGTCCAGCAAATAGTTTATCATCTCTGAAGCTCAATGGAGCCTGAATGCTTATACCAGGGTTCTGGTTACAATTTCTGGAGCAAAGCACATGAGAAGACAATGACCTAACTAAAACCTTACCTTTAGAGCACTCCTGATCTTTGAATCCAGTGTTGTTTCCAACCCTACTCAGTATGCAATTCAAAAGGAAAGAAGAGATTAGAATGAAAAGAAACTTTTGCAGTCTTCAAATAGAGACTGTATGCACAGATGGGGCCAACGTTTTGCCAGTATACATGTAAACTGCAAAAGCAACATTTAAGTAATTCTGAAAGTAAAGTTTTATAGGGAAATGTATGCCAATAGGAGAATCCTAGAACCATGACATATTTGTCCTTATTTGATGATATTTTAAACCCTTGATTCTTGGGAATTCTCCAAGAAGAACCAGAATAGAGGGAAAAGGTAGCCTTCAGTGGCCATGAAACAGGTCTGAAATTAAAAGGTTTTACTTCTGTTATGAAACCAGAACAGGAAGCAGCACAGCACAACCTGAAGGAGCTGTCAAGTAAAGAATTAAAACCCATTTGCATTACTGCTGGACGTCAGCTAATAATTGTACTTCCAGAGTTAATATAATTTTGTTGGAAAACATCACAGGAATATACCTTATCAGGGTGTGTGTGTAAAGTCACTGGATGAAGAACAATCATGCAGGTCACAAGACTAATCTTCAACTTTCTGTCTAAAGCATTACAATTTAAGACATTCATTGACCTAAGGACCAATCTTTGGGAAATTTCCATCACTCCTGAACTCAGCTTGGTATCCACTGAATTACACCCCTCAGTTTAAAATTAATCTTCACTAAGTAGTAGTCCTCCCACAACCAGGGTTATTCTTGTTTCCTGGAGAAGTCTTCTCTTAAAAGTGGCCCAAAGTTAAACTTGAGACACTTCCCAGACCTTGCATTGAGACTTTATTTTCCTTTGATGGAGGTCACAGAATCACAGAATTGTAGGGGTTGGAAGGGACCTCTAGAGATCATCAAGTCCACCCGCCCTGCAAAGCAGGCTCCCTACAGCTCTCTTCTCTTTCCGCCACACGATAGAAAGAGTTTTTACTGGAAGTTTCTTTGGTGAATGATCAGCAGTTCCTGCAGGACTCTTCCTGGAGCTCCTCTTCTACCACAGTGCATTCATAAAGTCCCAGTCACTGCCTGTCATCAAGAAAGCTTTGGTCCCACAGAATCACAGAATCACAGAATGACCTGGGTTGGAGGGGACCTCAAGGATCATGTAGTTCCA